CCATTACAACTACCAAAATCATCTTTTCAGTATCGTTTAAATCAATGCTGCAGATATTGATCTGTATAACTTTCTTTAGATTTGAAGAATTTGTTCATAAATATTTCAAGATGAATAAAGAATTATTCTTGTTACTCATTTCTAGAACTTTGAATAATGACCTATGTTCAAATTATACCAATAACCAATCGAAAGAAAATTGGATTTCATATAAAATTTTCACAGTTTAGAATATTTCTATTGAATCATAAATATAACTGGTAAGGATAAAAACTTGGTATTTTGAAAATATTCATGAAGAACTTCTTCAAATCTTAAGAATATTACAGAAATCGAGATAACTAATATTGTTATGTCCGATAGTAAAAATCCAATTTTGACAACTATAAATGATTGATAGTGACTCAAAAATTCATAGTTAAAATTTTAGAAAATATTCAATCATTGTTTTTTGTTTTCTATAGATCAAAATCAAATGATGAGTTTATTTTATTCAACAACAAAATGGCAACAAATTAATCTTTGGCTAAAAACTCTTTTACATATAATTGATCCTTCTGTTGATGATTATATGTTTTTAATCCGAGAAAAGAAAACAATTCTCGATAATGATCAAAGTATTTTATCAACATTTGATCAAACAGAATCAATGATAATCGATATTATTAATTGAAATATTGTAACTAAAGTTCAGTTTACATTTGAAACAAATAATTACTCTATTTATGCTTTAAAATCAACGAAAATTTCTTCTTTATTAAATAATGAAAATGTTCTTGAATACTTTAATTTAACTGATCTATCTTCTGATAATTGTCTTATTGTCGTAAAAGGAAATAATGAACATACATTAACAAAAGAGGATCTTGAAAAATCTATCGATACTTATTGAATTATTGAAAATGAATCAATTCATTGTCAAATAGTGACCTTAGTACAAATAACAAAATATGACGATGAAGAGCAAATAAAAGTTCCTTTATTAAATAGAAATATAACTATTGAAAAATTATTACATTCAACAGAAAAATCAATAGATGTTTATAAATATTTAGCTACGAATGATACAAAACGAATTCTTGATTCTAATGAAAAACTTTCAAATTTAAATAAAACAAAATTTATTCTTGTTAAAGAAAATGAAATGTGTCTTGTATTGATAAAGAAATCGAATGATTTACAACTTATTCATGTTACTGAAGAAGAAAGTGAAAAATATCAACGATTTGTTGTTAGTGCTACGATTGCTGATATTAATAAAGAAAATCAACAAGATATTTTACATCAATATCTTTTGTATTCAAATGACTTTGTTCCATCAACTGCCATCCAATTAATAACATTTCAATCAGAATCATTAATTCAATTTATTG